AATGTCATTTGATATGATGGGAAAATCATGATATCTCACCCAAAAATTACAAAAACATGGTATATTGTTTTGCGACAAGCTGTATAAAAGGATATATTAGTCGACATATCGGCTAATATATTGGCCATATTGGGGATATACCGCCCAAAATAGCCAAAAAGCAGTAAGAGATATTTAGAGACCATATCGGTTGCGGCAAGCCCAGTAAAAGGATACATTGGGGGATGTATCGGGTCATGTCGGGATATTTAAAACAATGGTAAAAAGGAGCATAAAAGGAATAAAAAGCTATAAAAGTCCTCAACCCCCTTGTCCTTATGCAAGGTGAATTTTGATTTGGGTACAAGACAAGACTATACACAAAACACATGCATTACATACTCCACGAATATTATAAAAATGACACAGAAAGGTAGCAGATGGACGTGGAGAAAGAAAGTGGTTGAATCAACAGCATGACAATTGCCTCAAGGAACCAGCCAAACAGGCATGGAACAGCCTGATAACCAGATTGCCAAGCTTAAATAAAATAAAAGAAAATCCTGTTGACCAGATATATATAAATTATTTACTCAATCAAAGAATCAATAAAAATGCAAAGAAATTTTCCATTAAGCTCCCAGGCCCTTTCTTGTGCTTTTAAGAATACTACTTTCAACAACTTTCATTTTAAATAGCCTTCCTGAGCCATAACCAAGAGAGAAAAGCTAACCATGAGAGAAAATATAACATGACTGAGACTGAAAAAACATACAACGTTAAGATAAAACCAGGATAATACTCAAAAGTACCATTCTTTCTTCAAATCATTGCTTCCATATAAAGATCCTTTTTCAGGTCGACTAATCAGATGCATCCCCAAATAAAAATTCTAATGTGCACAACCACTTCTTATAGTCTGGTACACAAATCCAAAATTTTTAACTAGATAATATAAGAAAAAATGTCTTTACAGAAGGAAGGGCACACATGCGAGCGTAAATTCATTATCCAAGTAGTCTCTCATCAGAATGGGTAAATGAAATTGAAATTTTATGCAAATGCTCTATTTCATCTTATATATTCATTTAAAATCTCATATATTGATTTCATACTCTCAAGTCCTGAAGCTCCTTAGTTAGTCTCTCTCCCCCCCCCGCCCCCCCCTATAACCCGAAAAAATATCAGTTTCTTTTAGAAGCTCAATTGGGGAATATATTCTATTTTACTTGCACACACTTTTTCAGGGTTTCTTTTTCCAAAGTTTATTTACATGAGTTTGTCTTCAGATAACATTACGAAGATAAAAAAGTGAGTTCACATCCTTACAATTTGCAATTAGCAAGCGCTAAAGTAATGCATGATGTTTAGTTTGAATGATGATATACTTTTATAAATTCATGCAGCAAGGGCTGACAGTAGTTTAAAGTATTGCAAAATACAAAATCCAAAATTGAGATCCATAAATTAAGTTCTGGTCCAAAATTATGGACTGAATCAGATATGGGTCAGACACCATAACAGGAAGAAAACATTTACCCCAAAATTTTGGGACCAGTTACGTGGATTAAATTCAGATCTAGAATACTATATCCAAGTCAGATTCATCATTCCTGGTTGGAGTCAATCTGAAACCCAAAACCTGACTCAATATGATTTTATCCTTTTTTTTTGGGCATGGGGGGTGATTTTTCTCTTATCGGGATCATGATGCATTTCAATATATTTATATTTTTAATAGTTCTGAGTTCTTATATTTTTTGTTTAGGGTGAATTACAGGAAACCCACTTCACCTATACCCTGTTTTTCAAGAGACACATTGACAACTTATGATCCCTGCCCCTAAAATTTGTGTAAATGTCCGGCCAGAGGAAGTATGCACAAGAAGGGCATGGCATAAATCCCGACTTGCCAGAAAAGTCCAGCTCATTAGTCACTGAATTATCAAACTCAGGCAACAAACGGAGAACTCACAAAAAGTTCTCCTAGACGGGTTAGGAGTCTATTCATATATACGACAAAATGCCAGAGGCCAATGACGCCCCAATTCCAAAACCATGAGCTTTTCATCCGTGCTTCCCATTAAACGCAAGTGCCACTTTACACTTCAATAATAAGTTAATAAAAATTTCTCTGGGAATGGCAGCCATAATTTCTAGGCACAAATTTCTCTGGGCAAGGCAAAAACACGCTTACCCAATTAAAAAAGTTCCTTCTTTAAAAAGTGATCTTGCAGTAAATATTTCATATATACCACAAAAAAAACAAGGTTAAAAGGCATTGGTTTAAAATGTGATCTTACCGTAATTATTTCATGTTAAAGTAACCATACCTACAAATCACAGAACATTCTAGCGAGTAATGAGTAATATAATGAAGAAACATCGAATAGCTGAATGTAAACTACATAAATTTTCAATTTTTGTTATCTACTCTTTTATCAATATCCAAAAGGATTTCTCCTTTAAAACATGGTTCGATGTATTGACATAGGATAATAAGGGGCAAGGCACTTTTCTTCGTTCTGGTTATTCTAATCAATGATCGAAACCATTTTACTGTCTATCAATAAAATTGGGAATCCAATATATAGACCATAACATTAAAAAAATCTATTTTTTCCAAAAATAGGAGAAAATAAAGATGAAAATTACAATCATTAGGAGAAAAGAAACAATTTTTAATCAAAAAGAGAGTTTATTAGATATAAACAAAGGGTTAAAGAGCAAAGAATTACTTGTTGGCGAGGCCCTCAACGACCACCTCGTTGACGAAATAGCTGATCACCCTCCCAATAAAATTTCCACCGGCCATCGTTGACTTGGATTCGATCGCAGCGAAAAACCCTAAAATTTGGGGATTTTCAGAACTCGAGATGAAAGTTTATGAAAGTTTCCAGAGAGAACGAGGGAGGGGCAATGTGGGAACTATTTATATGCAGGATACATCATATCTGGCGATGTCTGGTCTTGTTTGGGCCTCTCGGTACAATGTGGGAACTATTTAATATGCAGGATACATCGCGACTCAATGTCTATATCTTTTTCCTTGATTAGCCATAATTAATTTGGCGTTGACTGGTCTTGTTTGGGCCTCTCGGTACAAAAAAAGGGGCCAGCCCATTTTAAATTAAGGATAATGTCTAATTATTTTTGTAATTTAAACAATTGTATTATAATTATTATAATTAAAGAAACAAAAGGAATATTTTTGATTGGAAATAAAAGGAACAAATTTATATGCACGATAACGTCTAATTTTAAATGAGGGAATCATATGGAAATAGAATTTAAAATGTGATTTTAAAATTCTAATTAAGAATTGTCATAATTTAATTAGGATAAACAATTTATTGTTAGAATATGAATTATCAGATATTTTTTTATAAATAATTATACTTAATTAGGATTACAAAATATTTAATTATTAAAATTCTTTAATTAAGAGTAGTTTCAATTTGATAACACTTTTTAATAGAAATATTTTCACACATGTCAATATCATCATCTAATAGTATAGAATCACGATGTTATTATTTCAACTTATTTTATCCAAATACATCATAAATATACTTAAATTTTGATTGGTTTACAACAAAGTATAAATTTATCTACAGATTTTGGTTGACTATTGTTGTTCTTTGAATAGTTAATGCAATTCTACAATTTTAGTGCAAATAAATCTATTCTTTACAGTTTATATATATATATATATAGTATATATATATATATATATATATATATTATATATATATATATATATATATATATATATATATATATATATATATATATATATATATATATATATATATATATATATATATATATATGAGAAAAATGGGTATACTGTGTACCAAGGATCCTTGGTAGTGATGTGGACACATTGCTTTCCATACATCACACCTTGAAAGATGGAGCCTCACCAACTTCAAGGTGTGATGTATGGACAAGATGTGTCCACATCAACTACATAAGGATCCTTGGCCCAAGTATACCCATATTCCTACTATATAATATATATATATATATAATAACAAACTTATGTCAACTTAAGTGGATAGCAAAAAGTTGTCCACCAAACTTTTTAGCCACTCATATTACCTAAGGATCCTTGCATAATATGAATTTTTTTTATATTAATAAATGAGTAGTTAGAAAGTTTACTGGACATTAACTTAAGTTGATATAAATCTTTCTCTCTCTATATATTACCAAGAAAATCAAACTTTTATCTTACTTCTATAAAAACACCCCCTAGAAATCTCTCTCCTTCACCAACTATAACTTTTATCTCTTTTTCAAAGATTTTGAAAATTTTAGTTCCAAAGGTATTCTCTCTTTTTTAAGTCTTCACTTCAATCACTTTTTCCTTGGTTTACTCTTTTGCCCCCAATTCTCTCTCTTCATCTTCTTCTCCTTTGCTATATTTGGGATTTGGGAAGAAAGAGTACTCTAGGGTTTTGATTCTCAACAAGGAGGATAGTTTGAAAACCCTAGCAAAAGGCATCTTTGGATTGGGGGCTTCCTTACTTGGTTATTTACAGTTTTGACCCTGGGAGTGCTTTTGGGGATCTTGATTCTTGATTTTTTTGAGAGCCAAAGAGGAATTTCTACCCAATTGAACCAATTTAGCTTCAGTTGTGAGGGTATGTTTCTAACTAATTACTTCACTTGCCACTGCATACACATTCTTTTAAACAATTAACAACTGACCTTGTCCTTTTTAGATTTTGCTCTTGAGCAGTTTTTGCACTTTCCCATTGTGCCTTTTTATTTATTCTTAGATGGGTTTCTGACATGGGTTTTGCATGAAGTGATCTTTACATTGTTCAAAATCGACACTTTTAGATTATTATTACTTTATTACTTGTTCTGCTGTGGAAAAAGTATTCTGCTTGGTGAAATTTGCTGATGGATTTCAAAATTTTGAGCTGGGAATGAACTGAGAAGGTAGTTGAAGCCCATTGCTCATTGGCGAGTAAGTGACTTAGTACTTGCTTGTTGTTGGTAACATGTGAGTTCCTTAGAGAATTTCACACAATATTTACAAATTTTCCCTTCTCCCTTGTCCTATTTTCCAATTTCTCTTCTTCTTTTTTACCTCATTCTCTTTCTTTAGACTAAGTAGTTTCCTTGGCCTCAACCTTTGTTTTAATGTTTCCTATTTGTTTAATCCTAAGTTAAACAATTCTTGCATCCTTTCCTTTTCTTTCTTCCCTTTCCTTTTAGAAGGCAAGAGGACTTCTATTCTTGAATTTATTAATTTATGAATTCATCAGTTAATGCTCAACTATTTTCCTTGTGTTGTGTTTTTAGACTTATATACGGTTGGTGGGGTATTGTCAGAACAGTATGCAATTCCAATTACTCCAAATCCTGAACGAAAAAAGCACTAGTATGTTATTGCAGTGTCGGAGCAAGAAGACCTTGTGTCTTATATAAACTCAGGCATATGAATAATTCTAGATATAAGTAAATGATTTGCCACTAGAACATGTAAAATTGGTTTTATTATGTTTTAATGACTGTACATGTTGTTTAAGCGTGTCAATCAAGCAATTTTATGCAGCCGTGACATCTGTTGTTGAATTCACATTGTTGCTGCAACAATGAGCAACAAAAGACACTCTTTTATTTTCATTACTGCCTTCAACAAACGGCTAACTCAAATTTCTTAGCAAGGGTGTTTCTTCATGTGGATATGAGGTGAAGGAATGCCATTGACTATATATAGGTATACGGGCAATTTTTTTTCTTCCTATATTGGTCGGTTATGGATATACCACTAGGAAGCTAGATTTATTTGCAATGCATTGAGCTGCAAGTTGTCATATATTGCTATTATTCTTCCTTTTCTCAGTATTTCTTTCACATTTTGTGAAGCTAGATTTATTTGCAATGCATTGAGCTGCAAGTTGTCATATATTGCTATTATTCTTCTTTTTCTCAGTATTTCTTTCACATTTTGTGTTCAGTGATGTTAATTAAAGTTGGACTTTGAGATTTGATTTTAGTATGTGAAAGAAGGAAGCTGTTGCTTGATAATTTTAGGCTCAAGCTGGCTGACTGCGGGAATAATAAGTGTACTTATTTAAGATCGAAGAATTTTCTTAGTACCTGTTGAAGCTGTTTTTTACCTTTTAAACCTGTCTTTTTGTTGAAACTACCTGATAATGCTAGTATTAAGTAATTTGAGGAGATGTTGTGATACTGGTCATCACCGTCTCTAATTGCTATGGCTATCATGGAGATAATTATCTTGTTTTCTTGATCTGTTATACAAGCACATTAATGTCTCGATGACTCACCTAACTTACAATCCAGAGAACTGCAACTTAAGGAGATTCATGAGTGATATTTATGAGATGCGAAGTCTTTTCTGTCTCAAAAGGATAAATCCCATTAGTCTCCACCTGAATTACATCAATTACTCTCTCACCATTTTTCAAATGTGGGGCTAACACATCAATTGATTCTATATCCATAAGAGGGGTTTGAGTAGTTGTGAGATAGAAACCATCTCCATAAACTTAGGAATACATCTATTTCCTTGTTTTGTAATTCATGTGCCCTACGTGATGGGAACAAAAAAGAACAGTGGTTAATTTTGAGGAGAAGGATATTTTGAGGAATAAGGTTTTTTTCGAAGGGAGGGTTGATTAAAGTAGCTTTTGGATGGAGGGATATGATTTGAAAGAGTAGGGTTAATACATAATTAGGCTTCACACATCTAATGTCCTAATAATGCTTCACATCAATGACACTTTACATGCCAAAACACAAGCAATTCACATGCTTAGAAGAGAGATTTTCTCAAAATTCAGAAATTTTATTAATCAAGGTATATTCTTGGTGGAGGATTACAAATCTTATTATTGAAGCGAAAAACATCTAAATAATTAAGGAAGCAAATCAAACTCCTAATCAAATTAAAACCTAACAAAATCATCGATGCAATCAAATAAAATCCTAACTAAGATAGAAGGAGTTATCAAAATGAAATCCTTAAAAAGTCCTAACTAAAATAGAAGTAAATATTAAAATCAAATCTTAAAGAAATCGTAGCTAAAATAGAAGAAGACATCAAAATCAAATCCTAAAGAAATCCTAAATAAAATAGAAGATTACATAGAATAAAATTAGAACCTACCAAAAAAGTGAAAATAATGAATAACTTGCATTAGATCAACGGTCCACGATCGTTATGCATCACTATGAATCCACTTTATTTGGAATCTTTGACAATTTGTACAACTGTGCTACGTTGTATGTTCCAAATGTAGAATCACCTCCATTAGTTTCCTTTCTCTTCCGCATGCTAAAAATTCTATGAGCTACTTGAGTATCCACCAAGACACAGAGCTAAAAATCTGCATGCTCCACTCTGCTACTTCTCTTTGGTACTTCAGCCTAACTCATTATAAAAAGCTGTTAACAAAGCTGCTCGTGATGCCAAAAGCTGGTTTCAGTGGATAATACACTGGAACTTGCAAAGGCTTATTAAAATCATCTGAGATTATATTATTAATTGGATATGGTTTATCTATTTAATATGGGTCCATATAATGCTGAATCATTTTGTGCATGTCAAATTATCAAATTTGAATTTGAGGTTTTATTGATTGATTGAGCATTCAGGTCTAATAGCTCTCATAGTCTCATGATTTTGTTTCCTGGAGAAGCTGCAGTCCAAGAATATTTGACAGGTCTTAATGGACGATTCATTAAGATCGGCTCTGCATCTCTGCGAGCCTAGGTCTACACTAAAGTGGGGGTGGGGTATTTAACCACTTGGGGCCTAGACATCCCAATGAAGTGGTTGGATCTGTGTAGACATTGTATATCAATTCCGCGTATGACTGCCTGCATCTGTGGCTCAATAGTGGGCTTACAAAATATTATTATTACTAGTGTTTTTTAATTTAGATGAGCTAATAGAATTAAAAAGGTCAGTAATTTGGATCTAGGAGCTTGATTTTTTGTTCTTGGTTGCATTCGCCTATGACAAGGATACACTTCTTTGCTATTCCTTTTCTCTTCTCTTTTCTTTTTCCCTTGCCTCCTTTCTCCTCTTTTTCCTTCTTCGTCTTCTTTCTTTCCTCTTCCGCTTTTCTCATTCCTATTTTCTTTGTTGCATATAGGTTTCACTTGCTGTTTCCCCCTAATTTTCTCTTTCCCCCCCTCCTTCTGCTGTTATTACTACTAATCATTCTTTTTGATCTCTATAGCCAAATAATTAAGGTTCCTTTTCTGCTGGTTCTACTTGTATTAACAAGATGTGTATATTATTTGTTGATTTTGAATTTTTCTGCCTCTTGAAATGATGGAATTATTTGTTTGTTTAGTTACCACATTATTGTACTGCTTTGCAATATCTCTGCATGGAAATGAAATTCTATCTTATACGTGATGTGCTGCTCCTTGGCTCTTTGAAGTACTTCACATTATAAATCTTCAAAGGATATTTTTTCTGAACCTGTATGGACTGTACAAAGACATGGAAGCGATGCAAAATTTATGATGTATTATTTTTGCAGAAGGCATTATTCTTGGTTATCTGCCTTTAGTTGTTGAAACATTTAATTCTTTTGCCTTTAGATGAGCTTTCCTGAGTTTATCGACATATCCAGTGATGAGGAAGATGAAGAAATGGGTGTCAAAGACGTTAAACCTATATTACCATCTGATACGATCCAGGGAAATGCAAACTGTGAAGTTGTACATAATCAGCTAGACCATGAAGAATTTTATGTAAAACAAATTCTTCAAGCACAAATAAATTCTAATGAAGTTAACGGCATTTCATACGGTTCTTACATAGCAGACCAAGAGAGAAATCCTACTGATCAGTTATGCCTTGCATCTTCATCACCTGGTTCCTCAGTTGCACTTTGCCGGCAGTTTTGGAAGTCTGGGGACTACAAAGTTGGACAGACTCGTGCTCCCGTACATCAAAGTATTTTACTTTCCCTTTCTCTTTATTTTTTTGGAGTACATCATATGCTTGATACTTATTACCCTTTTCTATTGCACAGATGGCAAAAATCGCTTGCGCATCCATCCAAAATTTCTTCATTCAAATGCAACTTCACATAAGTGGGCTTTTGGTGGTGTGTCTTGTGTGCTTTCTCAGTCAAATATTGCAGTTTTATTGTTGTTCAATTCACTAATATAACAATAATATTGTTTCTAAAACTGCAGCCATAGCTGAACTGCTCGACAATGCGATTGATGAGGTAAAAATATCCTTATATCCTTGAATATATTTCTGCCATGAATTTTGTTCAATATTTGTTAGCTTGTGGTGCTTATAAAAAAATTGCAGATATAGAGAGAACGAGAAAAGAAAAAAGTACCGGGAATAGAGATTGGGGGGCAACTTTTATAAATTATCTTGAAGTTAGCGATCAGAGCATAGTTTATCTATTATCAGCTAGTATAAGATATATTGATATCATGGTTGTCAAGAAATTAACATGTGGTATTTATCACCTTGCTGACTAACAGCCAAATCTGGGTTTACATAGGTAGTGTTACATGGACATAAGATAAGGTTGTCAATAGTCCAGGTGACTTGAAGTGTATGATACAGGAACCTCCAAAATTTGCTTCAGGGAAATGACGACATCTCATTGGAAATAAGTGAATGTTCATAGAAGATTATGTAATGAGTAATGAACTAAAGAAATTAACCAGAGTTGTCTATATTTGGTCACATTTTCCTGTGAATAGAAGATTTTCATTGCCAGCAATAAAGGTCTTTTTTTATTAATTCATTTTGATGTTATCCCCAGATGGTCTTAAGTTTGTACTTAGATTGTAATTGCTCATTAGCTTCCGCATTTGTGACAGAAGTTATTTTTATCTTGTAATCTGTTTCCATGTTATTTAAACGGCCTCAATGCACAAGACACCGTGAATTCTCAGAAATGTGAGTCTTTAAACTTTAAATACTGTCAGTCATGAACTTGATGATACGTGAGTTGGCGATCCTGCCTCTTATAACCCCTTAGATCTACAATAATTCTCCTTATCTGCTAGAGGATATCGACAGTAATAGGAGCAGAACCTGCTTTGGTTCTATTTCTCTATCATGCGAATTAAATTCTTTTTGAAACAGACTAAGACCTTTATTTATCTAACATTCATGATGTATTTCATGCGAGCTTCTTTTTTTAAATTTTTAGTGAAATGTTATGTTCAATAACTCTAAACTTGCCATTAAACAGTCTATTATTACCTAAAATTTCATTCGTGAACTGCATCATCGCATATGACAAAGGAGGGAAGGATGATACAAAAATTTAAATGAGAAGCCTGTTATTTGTTCTTTTTGTGTCAGACGACTCAGACCTATAAGATCTACTAAAACAATGGTCAAGGCAGTAAAGGAAAAGGATGGAAAAGCTGCAACTCATGCTTCATGCAGACAAAATTCTCGTATATATTTGTATTACATTATACAATGTATTATGTAATATTACTTTGTCTCTTTGTGAATGTTACTTTTGAACGCCATCATTATTCGTGCTTCGTGTGGTTCACTCCAGTGTCATGTCACAACCAGGATGTAACCCACTAATATTCATAACCGTGTTGTCTTTCTTGTATAGGTTCAAAATGGGGCCACTTTTGTAATTATAGACAGATTCACTAATCCGCGGAATGGAGAAGCGGCTTTGCTAATTCATGGTATGTTGTCTAACTCTCCTCATTTATCTTATGCTAGTTTAGCGATTACTACCCAGTCAGTTCCTAATTCTTCATTAGAAGCTTACACAACTTGACTTTGATATTTTAAATACAAATCTATTAGATGATGGAGGTGGAATGGATCCAGAATCCTTGAGACGATGTATGAGTTTTGGATTTTCCGATAAACAATCAGATGCTACCATTGGACAGTGTATGTACAATTTTGCTTATGCATAGACCTATGTTGCTCCTAAACTAAATTGCCTGATTTTTTTAGATGGAAATGGTTTCAAGACTAGTACTATGAGACTTGGAGCAGATGTGATTGTTTTTAGCCGTTGCTCGAATAAAAGGTAATGTTGTTCATTTCTGGTACTTATATATCCTTTATGTACAGAGTATGTTTTTGGATATTTTCCTTTCTTTGATTTACTTTGTCATTCTGAGAGTTGCAGCCTGTGATACTACATAGTGGCATACTAAAACTTCACTTTTAAAATCAATCTGCGAATGTAACCATTCATGCAAGCATTTGTCATCAGGATCTGGTGCTTGGGGAAGTTTAAGGAGATTCACCAGCATTTTTTAGCTTAAGGGGCTGTTTAGTTAGTTTCTAGGAAAATAAATTTCAAGAAAAGAAATGCTGTTGTCAGGTTTTACACTTTTCCAGTCCAAGTCCATTTCCGAGCTCGGAAATGGTTTCTGGGTTTTAAGAAAAAAATGGCTTGTTTTGGGACGCGTTTTCCTCTTTTTTGCTGGACCAAACAAGAGAAATGGAAAATAATTGGAAAAACTCTTTTCAAAATGGGTGTGTCAGTATTTTTTCCAAATGGCTTGTTTTGGGACGCGTTTTCCTCTTTTTTGCTGGACCAAACAAGAGAAATGGAAAATAACCGGAAAAACTCTTTTCGAAATGGGCGTTTCAGTATTTTTTCCAAGGGGTCTCTCTCTCTCTCTCTCTCTTCTCTCTCTCTGTGTGTGTGTGTGTGTGTTTGTCTGTGGAACCAAACAGCCCCTAATGCCATCCTCTAATTGGCTTATGGTTAAAATCAGGCTTTGTGAAATTGCCAAGAGTTGGATGGCATTTTTATCCATTACTCAGTTGAACTTATATAACCAGTAGTGCACATCTTTTATACTTGATAATAAATAGGTTACATGGATAAGGCCATGTACATGGTCACATGTGGGACATGCCATGCCACAGGTGGGGGGCATGAGAAATTTGTACAAAAAACAGAAAAGTTGATATGCGAACAAAAAGTGAATTAAATTTTGGTCACCTCCTCATCACCGTATCCGATGACCAACACCGGGTGATGTGATATCCTTATATCTGCCTCTTTGTGAATGTATTGTGTGTGTGTGTGTGTGTGTGTGTGTGTGTGTGTGTTTTGTGTTATGCGTTGGTAATGGGCCTATAAAGTTCTCCGACAACATAAAGAAGCAAAGCTTATTGTAAGAATTAATGTTATTAGTAATATTACTTTACCCTTTTTTTGTCTCAATACAATCACCTGAGACCCAGCGACTTGAATGATAGAAACACTCACTTTGACAAACGCAACTGCAGGCTTTGTGTTTACAAGATTCATAAGCATAATTTCATTTTGCTTATCAGGAACATCAGAAAACGCCTTTAGCTCACTAATTCTCAAAGGACATTCCTTTACTGTAGAGAATTGAAGATCCCTCAAAATAAAACTTAAAAAAAGGATTGTAGAAATGATAAGTAGGTTATTTGAAGTTGCACAGAAAGAGTGCTTGATATTGTGCTGAGGAAAAAAATGGATGTGCCCCCAGTTTCAGTTGTAGGACAGTAATGAGGTGGCTAATTTAAATATTGCGCTCACTTGGGACTCCTACAAATGAAAATGGGGCATATCCATTTTTTTCTCTCACATCAATGATAATAATCTACTTATCATTTGTACTTTTTTTTATAAGTTTCATTTTAATACATCTTCTTCGATTCTCTACAGCCAAACGATGTCATGTGATTCCGGATGAACAAAATGAAATTATGATTATGAACCTTGTAAACACGCACCCGTAGCTATGTTTCTCAAAGTTGGTGTTCAATCATTCAAGTCTCTGGGGTCCCAGGTGATTGTATGGATACAAAAAAAGTAAAGTTAGATTACTAATAACATGTGTTCATACACTAAGCTTTACTTTTGTATGTTGCAGGAGTTCTATATCTGTCCATTACCCGTGGAGAGAGAGGAGGCAGTTATAAGGATACCGCGTCACAACATGTTGGTTGTTGGATACTGCCATGATGAGGTGACCAATATTAATTATTGGACATGTCAGATTTGTAATAAAAAAAAATAGACGTGGATAAACCTTGAAACAATTTTATTGTTTATAGCTATTATCTACTGCAAGTATGTGTTTACACTTGCAGGGTTGAACTGAAAGCTAGATAAGATGGTCTCCCCATTAGTTTAATTGGATGATTGCTGATGAAGAGTGTATGGTTATCCAAGAAATCGACTTCCGTTCAAGTTATCTTTTAGCCAGTAGTTTCTGTGTCAATCTTATATTCAAAGTTTTTTAAGTTTAAAAAATGATGTATTCATATATGGGAGGAGAAAAGGATATGCAATATCATATGTATCTAGATTTTTCATTTGTCTATGTTTTACTCTTATAGTACAACTTCTCTTAAATAACTTTTGTTCATCCAGTGTCTTTCCAATGCTTAATGTTTTCTTTTAAACATGTCTATGACAACATATTGAGCCTATTAGAATATAAAAATGGAATCCTCAACATCACCTTAACTTCGGAGTTTTGGTGTAATGGGAGTTCAAACTCAGAAAGGCCCCTATGGTTTGCGTCGTAAATCTATTAAGCCCCCAGACTATTATTTGGATCTATTAAGCCCCTATACTTTTTATTTTGAATCTATTTAGCCCCTACGGTGTTTCTCCATAACTAAAAAGTAGATTCAATAAGACAAAAATACCCTTTTTTTTAGTTATGGAGAAACACCATAGGGGCTAAATAGATTCAAAATAAAAAACATAGGGGCTTAACAGATCCAAATAATAGTCTGGGGGTTTAATAGATTTACAGCGCAAACCACAGGGGCCTTTCTGAGTTTGAACTCGTGTAATGGTTAGAGGAACTTAATTTAAGATAATATCAGAGCAATCCAGGTTCAAATCCCACGACCACCACTTTAAAGCAGTTTTTTAAAAAATTGACACCGCTGCGTGAGTCTAGGTTTTGGCTCATTAAAAGGGCGCTCAACCTGCGGGGATATAAAAATATAATCCTCAACTCTCACCATTCGGAGCTTTGGTGTAATGGTTAGATGAACTTTAAGAGGGCCTTGCTATGATGTCCGATTCTCTTTGTGTGTTTTGTCTTTCTAAATCACATATTTCTGAGAAGTTCATCCTTCATATTTCTATGTTTTACTTTTATGGTACAACTTCTAGATTGTTTGTTTGTCTATGTTTTACTCTGATGGTACAACTTCTCTCAAATAACTTTTGTTCATTCAATTAATGTTTCTCAATGCTTAATGTTTTCTTTTAAACACGTCTATGACAAAGTATTGGGCACTGCTATGATGTTGATTTGCGTGGGTTTTTTTTGTCTTTGTATTTCACATATTTCCTAGAAGTTCGTTCTTCATTTTCTGTTTAGTTAATCTCTTGGTTGGGAACCTTCACCAGGATGTTAACACAAAGTGTTGGGCTCCTTTCTTATACCTTCCTAAGACAAACAGGTTCTGATGATATAGTGGTGCCAGTGGTAAGTTCAGCAACTATAACCTCCTATTTGTTTGTATTTCATTGTCTTGTTTCAGTAGGTAAAAACTTCTTTTGCACATACATGGAAGCATATAGTATGTGCAATTTAATAGTCATAGGTTTTTTTACACTATCCCGACCTACATTATCCTGTAACCTGTTATTTGCCATTTACCTGCCAAGTCATATCCATACCCATTTGTGTACCCATCCATCATGTTTAGCAAATCAAATTGACATACTTCCATTTTTCTAAAGATTTTAATTTTTTTGAATACGACGAGTCTCCTTTTTGAAAATTAACAATTTATGAGACCTTATTTTTCTAGTAATTTATTAGACCCTTACTCCTAACCCTTCGCCTTTTGCTTCTCCCCACCTCGCCAGACTACTACTGTTCCCCTCCCCTTTTGGGTCTAGATTCTGAATTGGATTTTGACCAGAGTATGTTCTGGATGTGTGGGGAGAGAGGAAGGAGGAAGTATCAAAATATTTTAATGGTAGATACATGAAAACCCATTTTTAATATCACTTTTCTTTCTTTCTTTTCCTTTTTTCCTTCTAAATACAGTGTTGTTCGCTTGTTGCAGGTAGATTATGAGTTCAATCCATCGACTGGAGCATTTGAAAGCAAATTGCGTACTGATGAAAATCAGTTCTCCACCAACTTGTCTACTCTCTTGAGATGGTCCCCCTTTGTGTCAGAATCTGAGCTGTTGGAGCAAGTAAGCTTCATATTACTTGCTAACATTTGTTCTACCCTCGTTATGATGCAAGTCTTTTATTATTACCTTTCAGAAGTAAAGTGATTTAGTTTGTTGGTAACGAGGGTAGATGTATCGATTGTGGGTATCCAGTTATCAAGAGTTTGAGTATAGGTACTGTAGGGACAGGTGTTAGGGTGGGCATGGGCCGTGTCAGGCCCCACCCGCGACTCGATCCAGGCGACCAGGTCAGTGTGGGCAGGCCGAGAATCATGGTCTTGGGTCTGTCTGTGGACCTAGCTGGCCCATGGCCGGTCCGGCAAGGTTGGACCCAGCCTACGCTGGTTTGGGTCACAGCCGGCTCATGGGTTTGTCATTTCTTTTTATTTTTTAACTATTATATTTGGTTATATTTCTTTTATTAATACTTGTTTGATTATATTTAATTTACTTTTTAATTATTATAAACTCTGAATATTGTGATAAATGATGTTTATGAGTGTACCAACTGTTAAGGTCTCATGTTTTAGACATAGACTTGAACTATGATATCTTTCATGAATTACTCCTCATTACAGTTTTGTTATTTATTTATTTTTTATGTAATATAAGAGCAATGAATAGATTGTTGGATGTAATGTAATATTTTAAATGGGGTATAATGTAAAATGTGGAGCTATGATAGCTCTTTATCTAATGTCTGGGCTAGGACCGGGACCGGGCCAGGACAAAATGGGCCAAGCCAGGTTATGGCCCACAGCAGGCTGGGCCCGGGTTGGCCCTCCACGGGCCAACCCGGCCCTTGCCCACCCCTAATAGGTAGAGGTCCTTGACCTGGTAAAAAATTTATTAGGTGTGGGTTTGACATATATATTAAACCGAAACTGATGTGACCTTTTTCCATTCTACTCAACCCGATTACCACCCGAGTTTGGGTATGTTTGTCATTTATACCATTTTAATGCTGGCCCCTCAGCTTGGGAGTTGCACTTTGATCATAATTGATTTTGGCTTCAAATACTGCTTAAAAAGAGGAGGAAACATGGCATGGTCAGAAGAAAGGAAAGAAAATGATAAGGGCCATGCTACATGTTTTCGGAATCAGGAATTTTCATATTGGAGTACTGAAAGAAAACACCTTACATTTCGTGTTTGAATCTAATTCATACACCAGTTTGTGTGGTGCACACATCCTAATTCCTAAGTACTAGAACCTCAAAACTGTAATGAGGGTTAGTATTCGATGACTCTTTTATGAGTGACCTGACAAACTGTTTAGGATTTGCATTGTTACAGTTTTACTTCGAGATTACAAATTATTGTCTAAAATTTTATTATATTGATTTGACGTCAATGTGCAAAAATTGAAGCAATACCATCCCTGTTAATTTACAATTTAGAATCAAAGCGAGTGGTGTGGAACTTATAAAAAGCTAAGCCTGAAAAGTATGTAGTATGTGTTAGCTTTAATTTGATGAACATGCCATTTTTTCATGAAAAGTTTCTGCACATTTCTTGTTAAACTTCTATATATATTTAATATTTGTTTTATATGCTTTCCAACTATTCCGTTAGTCACATCTTATCGGAAAGTTGGCGTATTGCATTTTCAGCTTCTACTATGTTGATACACTCAACTTGATAAGCTATTAAGTGTGAGATGAATCATCCAATTCAATATAGGACACATGCTTGACAATTTTTTGTATTCCCAGTTAAATATTTGCTTTAATATTCCCTTTTTACTACATATTAGTGCTAAAAGGCACCTCTTTCCCGCATGGTAGTTATTATTTTATTTCTTAAGCAGTTCACTGGGGCTGGATTTTCTATTATGGCTATTCTAGTTTAGCTAGTTCCTCAGGAGCATAAATTTGTAATTCTGTCCAATACATTCCACGTTAGTAATGTCAACTGATCTTTTCTGCTTTATATTTTTAGACAAGTCTGCTGCTAACAAGTATTTTTTATTTACATTTGCTTTGGATTTAATGAGCAGTTCAGCGACATAGGACACCACGGTACGAAAGTAATAGTGTTCAACCTGTGGTATAGTGATGATGGGGATATGGAGCTTGATTTTCAATCTGATCCGAAGGTCGGCATTCAATATTTCCTTTTTACGTGTACTTTTTTCTTCTACTACTTCTATATTTTCTTGCAGTTTTATTTCCCATAGTTTGTGAAGTTCGCAAATTCTATATCTTTATCAAGAAACTTCTCCTAGAACAATTGTCTCTATTAATTGTCTATTGAAGGCCAAAATATTTAGCGAGGCACCTTCTAGTACAATTCTAAGATTATTTTCTGTTTAATTTTCTTGATCATCCTTCCCATGTTTTCCATCAATCTTTGTCATGTCACTCGTTCGTGGTTCTTTTAATATATGGAGCTTGTGTTATTTTACCAGAAATCATTTGTTTTCTTGTTTTAGGATATCCTGATCAACAAAACACAAAAGAATATGAACAGAGTCCATGAGCTGACCAAGAAAAATGTTGCTACTAGACTACAGTATTCTCTTCGGGTAATGGTCTTAACAACTAGAAATTTACAAAAGGATATCCTCTTTATACTAACTTGAAATTCTGCAGGCATATTCATCTATCTTATATCTTCGTGTGCCGGAAACATTTAAGATAATCTTGCGTGGAGAAGTAGTCATGCAACATCATGTAGTTAACGATCTTATATACTTGGAGTGCGTTATGTATAGACCACAAGTTGAAGGATACCCTGAGGTTGGTGCTGAACTTGTTATAACTTGATCTTGTTGATTACAATCCCTTGTTGATACTCGGCAACTCTACTTATTGCCTATCATTTGCTAAGTTCTGATGTCAGAAATACACTCCTTTCTATAAAGTGAGTTAAAATCTTGGAATCTTGAAGTGTCCCTGAATATTGTTGAATGATGATTATTGTAAAACAAAATGCCTAAAGTCCACTTATTTAATAGCTGGCTGATGACGTCATCGGTTCTCATGTAATGATATTTCTTCATTGTTTTGTCTGTTTCCTCACCTTGCACCATTGGTTTTATTTGGCTGGTTCTGATGCCTTCTAGTGGTTGAAAAGTACTGTATGATAGGATATACCTTCAACATTTTAAGAAGCTGACTTCTGTTAATAAACAAATAAGGTACTTAGAAGCATGATTTAGTTAGAAAATTAGTTAATACAACTTCTCATAATTTTGGTTTTAATTTCTTGATTTTGTGATTCATGTAGAAGTGCTAATTAAGTTATTATTATTCCTTACTTCAGGTGCTGACTACCATTGGATTTGAAGACGGTGCTCCAAATGTTGATGTTCAAGGATTTAATGTCTACCACAAGAACCGTCTTATACTAGTAAGTTTTTTGTTTTTGTTTTTGTGGATATATTGAAAGTTTTACAAGCAAATACCTGAATAAATGCTTACTCTTATTTTGCATATTACAACCAACAACCCCGATTGTATTTATGCTTAAGAGAACTTTGTACACCACGCTTCCCTTTAAAATGGCTTTGAGGTTTATGCTCATTTTGAGATTCAGTAATGGCATCAAGTGACCAGTTTACTTGGTGAAAAATAGTACCCAGGGTGATCTTAACTGTGTATAAATATATTTCTACAGACAGTAATTGATTTCCTGTTCCTTAGTCCCATCCCCTCTCTGTTTTTATTCGTTTGTAGATCTTTGCTAGTTTCACAGTCAGTTTAAGAGAAATATAATCATTTGATGTTTGAGCCTGTTATACTCTTGTTGTGAACTGTTAAATATGTCAGGACAAAGAGAAAAAAGAAGCATATTGATCACAATATATTTGGAAGATTTTCGTTGATATAGTCCACATTACAATCAAAATCTCAGATAAAAGATAAATCGTGAAAAGACTTTTTTTTGTGTTGTGCCCC